GGTTAGGTCCATCAGTATTGTGATATCAGAGACATAACTGCATGTTTCTGCCTTCAGGTGTCCAACTTGTTTGCCCGTGACGAAATAGATGATATCCTCAATGATCTCATCCCTGTCATGAAGCGAGAGTTTCCCCGGCGACCTCCAACCAACGGAAACCTGTACGATTACTTCATGTCACGAGTCCGACATAATCTCCACGTCATTCTGTGCTTTTCCCCTGTTGGGGAGAAGTTCCGGAACCGAGCGTTGAAGTTTCCGGCGCTGATCTCTGGTTGCACCATGGACTGGTTTAGCCGCTGGCCCAAAGATGCACTGGTTGCAGGTATTTTTAACACACAGTTTTATTTTCACAAATGTGACCTGTCTGGTGCTCGCATTTCTTTTCAAAAATGTATGCGGTACATGTTATACTCTGTTTATTTCAAAGTAGATGCTATTATATGAATACAAGATCTTCGTGCTCTCTGAGGTTTTTCTCCAGTTAAGAATGTCCTGTCTCGTTTCTTCCTGTCCTTCAGTTTCAGAGCACTTCCTGTCTGTTTATGACATAGACTGCTCAGCCCAGGTTAAATGTGAGGTAGTTCAGTGCATGGGCTCCTTCCAGGATGGTGTAGCAGAGAAATGTGTGGACTACTTCCAGAGGTACAGTGTGTATATATATATATATATATATATTTATATATATATGTATGTGTGTTTGTGAAGATTATATGCATATATGTGAAGATTGTTTTATGTGTGTCTGCAACACATGATGATTGTCATAATATTTAGCATGTTGCAGTATTAATGTAACCCAATTCGTTTAAATCTAGATACCGACGCTCCACCCATGTCACACCCAAGTCTTATTTGTCCTTCATTCAAGGCTACAAAACCATCTATAAAGAAAAGAGGTCTGAAGTTCAGACTTTGGCCAACAGGTAAATTGTTCACAATGAGTTCAACAATGTTGTGCAAATGATAACATATGCAAGTTTTGTTGCCATTTAAGCAAACAGAAACCCAGATAGTAGACAAAAGCAACAGGTTTGCTATAATCATATTTGACTTGATCAACTGTATTCAAAATTTCTCCTCTTTAGGATGAATACTGGTCTCCAAAAGCTGAAGGAGGCATCGGTGTCAGTGGCAGCTCTCAGCAAAGAACTGGAGGTGAAAGAGAAGGAGCTACAGATTGCCAATGACAAGGCTGATATGGTACGTTTGTAGACAGGGAGGGGATTTTTATTTGTATGTGTGGGTTTAAGGTTCAAAAAGCATACAGAATGCTTCAGCAGCCTTTTTTGTTGCATTTGTATTAAAACAGCAACACGGTCTATGAAGTAATCAACAGAATTGAATGGATACATGCTAGTTTGTATTAGACACTAATATAACATTTCATGCATTAAGAAGAAATTGAACACAGAATGAAGAGATGAAGTGTTCATTCTGTCCGTTGCTGGGAATCAGGCTTTCCAGTGATTGTTTTGGGAATATTGCATTGTTGCGTAAAATTACCCTCCTGCAGTGAGTGAAATAAGAGAAATTGATGTTTAATGGGGCGAATGTGTATTTTTTACAGTCATGCTTCAGTATAAGTGAAGCAGTTTAAGCCGTCTCTTTTTTTTCTCTATTCGTGAACACTCACTCTTGTTATACAGAGACCTCTATATCAGGTAGAGCCTCTTCAGTGTTACAAATGCTCAGATCTGCCATCTCCCATTGGATTGAGCATTCTGTTTTCTACTTAACCACACTTACGATCTTTTCTCAGCTGAGAAAGTCTCCCAGCTTCAAATCATTTCTCTGTCACTTATAATGTGTGTTTGTTTTCTTGTGCAGGTGTTGAAGGAGGTGACAGTAAAAGCCCAGGCAGCAGAGCGAGTGAAGGTAGAGGTACAAAAGGTGAAGGACAAGGCGCAGGCCATTGTGGACAGCATTTCAGCTGACAAGGCCATCGCTGAGGAGAAACTCGAAGCTGCCCGGCCAGCTCTCGAGGAGGCAGAGGCTGCGCTGCAGGTATGGGACGTTGAAACAGCAATGTTGAATACATGGCTCCAAGGCTTCCCTCCAGGTAGACATATCTACGTTCAGATGTCTTTTTTTTGTTTGTTTGTTTTGTTTTAAATCACTCAGAGCCTATATAGCCATGCTAGAGATTCACAACATGCTACACGAACCATTTCAGTTTAAATGTTAAACCTGAGTATTTTTTTGAGTACCACATTGGCGGTAATGTGTGTGTGTGTGTGTGTGTGTGTGTGTTGGACCGGGGGGGTGTATTATAGGATAATTAGTTTTGCAGGTAGTTGATCATAAATCACTTAATGAGACACATTAAAATGATCTGAAGATTACAAAATGCGCTGGAAAAATGATTGCAATTAATCATTCAACAGCAACGTGACATTGTTGTCTGAACTGGCTTTCATGAGCCAAATGTCACCCTAATGTTAGTGCCAGTGAAAAAAGGCGGGAGATCACCAGAGTAATCAAAGTTCATCCTGTAGACACCATGAGTCTTGTAGCTATGTGATTATTTCACTCATAAGCAGAGTTTTTCCTGTGTCACAGCTTTAGGGGGGGTGAATGTAAGCATGTTTGATCCAGTGAAGCAAAGCATATTTGCTTTTGCCTTCATGATCTAACCCTACAATATAACTTGAATATTTAAAAAAGTGAGGGCAGTCTTTTTGTGCTTTAATGTGTGACTTACATTTACCCAATTTAGATTTCTCCTGCTCTTTTACTATGTATTGCTTCAGGGTGCCACTTAAAGCCCTCTGTGACTTAATGTGTGAAGCTGTATGAATGTTTCTGCCTGCAGCCTTACTGTCCTGGTGTGTCTAAACTTAGTATGGTCGTCTGGTGCCTCTAGCTGCATTGTAATTAAAGCTGTCCTCCTGGGTAGATGGTTGCATGCAGATCTCCTGTGGCAATTCCCTCATTAAAAAAATGTTATCGCGCAACTGCATATAGAAACCTCGGATTTCTAAACAGACAACCCAGGACACTTCCTAATGTTGCTGGTGTTCTGCAGTATAGCGAGATTAAAGTAAAAGATATTTTCTAACTTATTCAAGAACATCAGCTTTAGTGGCAGAGGAGATGAAGGAATTCATGTTTCCTTTCTTCAGGCTTTTCATACCACACTGTCACATTAAAATATTCACAGACAGGTTCCGTTTCCTGATTAATTTGGATATTCACCCAGCCTTTAAAAGGACCGAGTTTGTGTGTGCAAACTCAAGGTAACAGTACCATTCTATAACATTTCCTTGTCATACAAAAGGAGCTGATTTGCTACTAGTTACAGTGGATTAATGATGACAGTAAAGCATAAAATGGTTTTGTTTTTGTAGTACTTGCTGAACTGGAGTGATGATTTTATTTTCTAACAATGGGCTTAGTGAGAGATTTTCATAAGAAGCTGTAGGAGAAAAGAGGATACAGGCTAGTGAAAGTAGAAGTACATGATAACCTAGACTGTCTGGTGGCTGACACTCTAGTGGGAAATTCAGGCTTGCACTGAGTGGAAATGGAGCAAGGAGGAGAGAACAGAAATGAGAAGTGCCAAAAAAGAAAAGATAAGAAGAGAGTAAAGCAGCTGAACAGTTCTCACAGGAACATTTTCTTTACTGGTCTGCTGTTTCTTGTTTTAATCAGTCCCTGGAGGTAATCCTGTGTCACCCTCTCCTGAACTCCTCTCATTCTGCCACAGTTTGTACTTACAGTCGTTGTGTTATTTCCCTCTGCACACCTGCTCTGCTTTTATATTCTGAAACTGGAGAATTAGGTATAATCCTCATTAATGTATCTGTCTCTTCTTTGAACGCGGTAATGAGAAACAAATTATTTATCCTTTGTTCTCGTCATAGTAACGCGCTGCTCTAATCGTCTCCTAACATGCTCTGCGTTTGTCCAGTTTGCTGGTGTCAAATCCTTACTTGACTGACTTGTCACACGTTTCCAGCTCTCCCATCGGGGTCATGCCATACAGTAAATGACTGTTCTAAATTCTCCCGCTCTCCGTTTTTCCTTTTTGCCCACATAGACAATTAAACCGTCGGATATTGCCACAGTACGGACACTCGGCCGCCCCCCTCACCTCATCATGCGCATCATGGACTGCGTGCTGCTGCTCTTCCAGAGGAAGGTCAACCCTGTGAAAGTTGACCCAGAGAAGAACTGCAACACTCCTTCATGGCAGGAGTCATTAAAACTCATGACTGCTGGAAACTTCCTGGGCAGTCTGCAGGTGCAGTAACATTTATTTAATTTGTATATAGTTAAGACTGAAGTGATCATATCATCTCAACACATGATTCAGGATTTATGCTTTGTGTTATTTGCCGTGTTTAACATGAATGAAAGCTACATTCTACTTAATAGAAAGGACTAAACTTAGACTCTAAGAGTTTAGTCACTGCACTTCCATAAAAGTG